CCTTCCCTCCTGCCCTCCCTTCATTCCACAAGTGTCGCTTCGCTCTCTCCAGCGCACTTGGCGAGCTGAAGAGGTGAGGGATCCTGCGAGCAGACGTGGGGCTGCGAGTCCCCAGCCACCCGCGGAGGGGCGGCTTGGACAGACCGACTCTCCCTTGCTCTCCGGCCCCCGCCTCCCCCTATAGCCAGCCGGACCTGCACTCCGCGCTTGCCCCCGCTCATCTTCCCCCCCTCCCCGCCCGGCGCGCTCCTCCCCGGCCAGCCCCTCGGCGCGCGGCGCGCTGGAGGCGAACGCGGGCTGAGCTGAGCGCAGTGGCCGCCGACCACCGAGCGCCCCGCGCCGCTCCCTGCATGTGCGGCCCGCGGCGGCTCGCAGCCCCCGGCAGCAGCCTCGGCAGCTTCGGCCGCGCCTCGAGAGGCGGCTGCGGTGGCTCCAGCAGTGGCCGAGCGGCCGAGCCCGGGCTGGGAGACACGATGCGCCGCGTCCTCCGGCTGCTCCTAGGCTGCTTCCTCACCGAGCTGTGCGCCCGCGTGTGCCGGGCGCAGGAGCGAGCGGGACACGGGCAGCTGGCGCAGCTGGGCGGCGTGGTGGTGCTGACTGGGGGCAACCGCTCCGGGGCCGCCTCCGGAGAGGCGGGCGAGGGCGTGGGGGTCTCGGACGCGCCCCCGACCCGGGCGCCCACGCCGGACTTCTGCCGGGGCTACTTCGATGTCATGGGCCAGTGGGACCCGCCGTTCAACTGCAGCTCGGGCGACTTCATCTTCTGCTGCGGGACTTGTGGCTTCCGGTTCTGCTGCACATTTAAGAAGCGGCGACTGAACCAGAGCACCTGCACCAACTACGACACTCCTCTCTGGCTCAACACTGGCAAGCCCCCAGCACGCAAGGACGACCCCCTCCACGACCCCACCAAGGACAAGACCAACCTGATCGTTTACATCATCTGCGGGGTGGTGGCGGTCATGGTGCTCGTAGGCATCTTCACCAAGCTGGGACTAGAGAAAGCGCACCGACCCCAAAGGGAGCACATGTCCAGGTGGGCTGCCTCCCCCCTCGCGCTCCCCTCAAGGTGCTGTGCTCCCCATTTCTCCCTTCTCCATCTTCCCCAGGCAATGGCGCCCCCACCTCCATCCTCTTCACCGGGGGATGTCACCAGGGAATGTCACCGGGGAAGCCAACTTAGGCTCGGCGCGCGGAGAGGGGGCGCTGGGCCTCGCACAGGTGTGGATATGAGCTTGTGTGTGTGTGTGTGTGTGTGTGTGTGTGTGTGTGTTTGGGTGGGTGGGTGTCTCTGCTCTCCCTCACCCTCTTGCGATCTTTCCTTTCCCACCGGGGATTAAAGCGGACTTGAGCCGAGCCCGAGGCCCTTAAGTCTTGGGTTTGGGGAAGGGGTCCACCCTCGGATTCCAGATTCTAGCCTCTTGGTAAACAGAGGCCAGCGGGAGAGCCAGAAAAGGGAAGGGGGGCGTGTGTGAGCCCGAGCGCGCGTGTGTGATGGAGGGAGGGAGGGAGGGAAGGAGTGTGTGCCGCCTGCAACTCGTACGGTTCGCTAAAAGGAGGCGAAGGAGGTGGAGAACCAGGGGAGGGCGAGAACAAAAGCCTTGCTTAGAGCGGCCGCCTCGCTTTCCTTGAGCTGCCAGGTCCCAGAAATCCGGACCGCGGCTGCCCCTGCTCCCTCTTAACTCCCTCGGCCCGCTCCCCTGTCACCCCCTCTCCCTGCGCCCCTTGCCGCGGCTGGCATGGAGTTCATGGATCCGAGCCCCCGCCCCACGTGCCGTCACCCCCCAGGCACCCTGATTCGTCAACTTTCCCGTTTGCTTAATTCATTATGCAAGTCCCAGCACGAGCGAGGCGCAGCAGATGGGGAGAAGGCATTTGGGGATTAATGGAGCTATTTGCCTTTTGCTTGTTTTTTAAGTGTCTAAATTGATTCTCACAACCCAGTAACTTTGGAAGCGAGGACACAGCGGCGAGGACGCAGCCCCAGATCCCCAAGAGGCCAGGGGTTGTTGGTGTGAGGTCGGGCGGGTAGGGTTGAAGAGCGACAAGCCGTCTGCGAACGACTGGGTGGCTGGGGCGCAAGCGTTTTCCTCTTTTCTGAGTAGGGCCAACGCAGTCACCATGTGCCCACCGTCCACATATTAACACGGAAACACCACACTTCCGCCGGGAGCCTGTGTGTGCGCGTGTGTTATGCACGCGCTCTGGGCGCCTGCCTAAAAAATCTGAACAAAGAGACCCAGCAAAAATAGGCGAAGGAACATCACTACCTCACTAGTAATTATTTCCTATTTATACGCAGAGTATCCGATGACTTTTTTTTTTCTTCCGGAGGGAAAAGACTGGGTGGGGGACGAGGTGAGGAAGTTCCCCTCGGGTTGGGTCAGCAGGGAGGCGTGGACGGATGGCGAGGTCTTGCGGCACAGAAGTAAGCTCCGAGGGGATTCAGGAATCCCTGACCTACTAAACGAGTAAAGCGCCAAGGTGCCCTGTCAGCACCCCCACCGCCGCTGGGTGGTTTCGCTTCCCCGCAGTCTCCGCCATAGCCATCGATCCCCGATTTGCAGGGTCTGGGTTAAGGTGAGGGTGAGATAACGACACAGGACTGCAGCGGCGAGTGTCGCCTAGGTAGGGAGAGCTTTTCCCAGGGATAGGTAGGCTGCCTTGCAGATTCATTCCTCTGCTGAAATCCGCCAGCACTTACCTTGCCCACCGCTTCTAGGAGCCCTCCTTGATGTTGGTGGTGGGGATTTGGGAGGGGTGGAAGGGTATGGGAAAGTGGGAGAAAAGCTAACCTTTGGGGCACCTATGGGAGAGCTAGTGGCTTCAGGCCCTTTTTTAAGGAGCTGGTGTTCTTGCAGAGACGGGATTCCACTGGGCACCTTAGGGCCCAGCAGGGACTCAACTTCCCGGTTCTGCCCCCTTGCAGCTCTGTTAGAGGAAAACGAATCACCGCAGCTCAGCGGGTTGCAGCCAGCACCCTCTCCTCGGGTAACAGACTCAGCACAGGCTCTCCTTGTATATACATTTTGGGAATTCCTGAACGGAGTGCAAGTACATACACCCAAAGACCAAAAAGAGTTGATTTTTACCGGCAGCCTCCAAGGTGTTCTTTTCAACTCTGGCTGCTGTTTAGAATCACCTGGAATGCTTTAAAACAACGACCACGACAACAACAACAAAAACCCACCCTAGGCCTCACCGTAGGTGGTTCAATGAAAATCTTCAGAGGGAGGGCCTGAGCGTCTGCACTTTTGTAAAGCTCTCCAGGCTTTACAATGCTCAGCCAATCACTGTTAAGGGAAAGGAAGTAACATTTGTTGCGCACAGTTCTGGGTGCCAGGTACTGCACGTGTGTGTGTGTGTGTGTGTGTGTGTGTGTGTGTGTGTGTAAGTGTGTAAGCATTCTCTGGGTCTCACAACTGCCCCAGGAGACTGGTGCTATTTTAATTCCCACTCACAGAGGAGAAAGTCATGGCTCAGATTGTATGGCTTGCCCAAGGTCACACAGTTAGAAAATTGTGCACTATCGAGTCCTCTGGTTTCCACTGTGTCTGGAGTAGACGTTTTCAGGTGGGAGTGAGCATCAGACTTTGGGGGAGCTTCCTAAAACGCACATCCTTGAGTTCTATCCAGAGAGATTCTTAAGTCAGGAGGTCTGGGGTGGGGTCCCCCAAGTCTGCATTTAATAACCTCCCCGAATGGCTGATAAAAAGTGGCCTGCACTTTAAGAAAGACTGTTCTCGGGTTTGGTAATATTTTTCAGGACTGGGGGATGGATGAATCAATCCAAGGTGACTGTTATTTGCCTTCTGTTGCTTGTTTTCTGCACGTAGTAGGTAGCTTTTTATATGTATTTCTGTGGTGCTGGGGCTGCCCCAAGCACCTTCCAGATGCACCCTGCCCGGCTCATGCAGCTAATTGTTTCCAGTCTCTGCCAGAGTAATGGGCTCATTAGCCTGTAAGGGCTCAGGGATGCTTGGGTGGGGCCAGCATGTCAAGCTTGGCATCAGGGGCTCTAAGGTGGCTTCCAGGTGAAATTAATGTGCTGGCCACAGCTTCTTCATTTGTTTGGTCTCAGAGTATGAGGGTCACTGAGATGAAAGGTTTGCTCTCTTCTTGTCTGAAAGCATCTCCCCTTCTAAGACATATTGCAGGTTGCTGCTCCCGTGTCACAGACTGCCCCTGGTGACTACTGTGCTTGTGTTTTCCCAGAAGAGGCCTCTGTGATGTCAGTTCTCAGGCTCAGAGTCCTGGG